GAGTTTTTGATGTTTGTAAACAAAAATAATTTTACAATGATGATTGAAATATATATTTCGGGGAAAATTAAATGATAAAATGTTAATATATTATTAATTGTTATATTAAAAATTAGTTATTTTGTTTAGAAACACGAATTATTGATAAAAAGAAACAAGTTCTTTAATTATTTCTTTCGCTTTTCCAACCTCGCTTTTCTTTCTTTTTCAGTTTCTAACATCATTTTTTTCTGTATTTTTGGAGCCGGAATTTCTTCCATTTCATCTCCATATAAAAAAAGTCTCATACATCTTGAGTAAGCAACGTCGACTTTGCAGACTTTATATGTTCTCGATGACTCGGACGTGTCTTCAACTTTGCGGTCACAAATAGCAGACTGTAAAGCTATTCCTGATTGCTTGAAGGCACTGACTATTGTTTCAAGACGGTCTTTTGCCTTCCACGAATCGTAGATTGAGAGGATTCTTTTTTCCACTGTCGATTCTGCAAACTCAATCTTCACTTTCAAAAGATCATCGAACAACTCGTTTGTTGGTTTTCCACTTTCTTTCATGTAGTTTTCAAATTCCATTTTGAGGAGTTCATTTTTAGACAAATGAGACTTGACGGCAGAAAAAACACACAAATCCAGTGGTTGGCATAGATGCGACGTGTGTGGTTTTAGGTACAACACATCGATGCCGTTCTTCTTCAGTATTTCAATTGCAGCGTCATGGGCTTTAAAACCGTCCATAATGAGGACAGCTCGCGCTTTGGTGTGGAGAGCCTTCTGAGACGCCTTGACATCAACAACAAGAACACGCTCGACCCATTCTTGAAACAATAAAGAATTCATAAATCCCTTCGGCTGGGTCTTTATTATGGCATGAGTTGACAAAATGGCAAGTACATCTTGGTCCAGAGTCACTCGGCTGGTGATTATGAGGGGGTCAAGTGCGTGTCCATCTGCTCGAATACAACCCCAAAGGGTAATCCTGTATCCACGACCAGCGACTGGAGTGTAAACTGTCTCGCCGAAAGCATGAGAAAAACATACCGACTTTGAAAGAGCATCAACAAAAAGATCGAACCCGACCTTGTCTAAGTTATAAACCAACGCCGCCGGCTTCCCATCCACTGCTTTTTCAGCTCACTGAGGTATTCTATGATAAGTTCTTTTGACACAATTGCTCTGGGTGTCTCCATCAACTCTCCTTTTTTAACACCAAGCTCTGGAATTTTCTTGACAATTTCATACATCTGCTTTGTTGTTAGCGATTTCTCACCCTCTTAATGAGCTTCAGGTTGACAAAATCTCTAACATCTCGAGGTTCCACTGGCTGTTTCGCCTTTTGAAAAGTTTCTATAAACTTTTGGACTTCTTCTTTCTGTTCCTTTTTCAAAAGACTTGGGCGTCCAACGAGTCCTCCTCCTTTCTTGTTCTCGACCTTTCGAATCTGTTTTTCCACGCTCCTGACACCTCCAAAGAACTCATTTATATCCTCTCTCCAGCCCCGACGCCAAGAAACATCTCCCAGACTTTCAATGACAAGTTTAATTTGGTCGAAATAACTGTTACAACAATTTACTTCTGCCTCGCATTTTCTGAAGAGTTCTAAATACTCTGGATACAACGTAAGGCGAGAAAGCAGACGGGTGTGGTCACATGCAATCGCTGGAATTCCCTTTCCTTCTTTTTTTCAACATACTTATAAGGCTTCTTCTCACTTATTAACTGTGTTATATTTGGTAAGATTGTTTAAACTTAAACATAGAATATATTTTTATTATATTATTATAATTATTTAATGGTTATTTTATTCAAATATGATTATATTATTTTATTATTATTTGTTTTTAAACAATATGCATGGTCGAAAACTACAAATAAATTATATTAACTAGTATATTTATTTTTGCTTTATTAATTTTGTTTTGTTTGTTATAAACAACAAAAATGAATAGTTTAAACTCATTACACGATACAATGTCCAAATCATGTCAATCACGTGTTTATCTGCCATTTTAAAGTGATCAATACCATTAAAAAACGTTCTAGACGTTTTTGGTGTGAAATTATTTTATCAATTTGTATTCATACAACATTAAAGATATGATTATTCCACATAAAAGTTACATAACTCATTTGGGCAATATGTATATCTATTGTTGATTGTCTGAAATTATCAAGAATATAGTTTTTATCCAGTTATTTATTCAAATAATAGTAAAAATTAATTATTATCAAACTATAATCAAATTATTATTTTTAAAAATAAAAATGGTCAAATTTAACTTTTTAATCATTCGTTTTTTTAATGGTTATAACTGCTCAGTATGGCAATGAGTAAAAGAATTGAGCATGCAAATATAATTGCCTAATTAACTGTTATGTTTTCAATATCCAATATTTTGATTTGTCTATTATTATTTATTTTAACAAGAAGTCGTTTTTTCTTCTCTAGCCAAACCCAGTTTGATCATTTTAAAATTAACTTTGAAAATCACAAGTTTAAAATTGAGCATCATGTTAATGTGATAAAATGATATTTTACAATTTTTGTTTTTAATGTAGTGGATCAGAGATACATCGTGAACATTCATGTTAGAGTCCAAAATTAAGAGTTGTTTTTTACCTTTCAAAACTTAAAAAATGGATAAAAATAATAACTAAACCCGTCAAAACATGACGGGTCATTTCAATTAACTGTTTTTTTTTCGCATTTTATATTTTACTACAATAAACTTCAAAATGAATTGTTGATTTTTTTCTTGTTTTATTGGTCAAAATTCGAATCATAAATTATCCTTTTGTTATTTTAGTTATTTCTCTGTTCCAAAAAGTGAGCAAAATATACTTAATTTCAGGGTTTCAAATTTTAACAAATAACACAATTTTTATTTAAAATGTTTTACACTTTGTTCGAATCGAAGTTCTACCAAAATTTTCAACTAATTGATGGAAAACAACCAATTTATATGACCCCTATATATGAGTTAGTGTAACTAGAAACACATACAAAAACAAATAATCACAAAATATAAACATAATGTCTAAACACTTACAATTATCTTTTCCTCTGAGTTTTACTACAATTCCTAAACTTTGTTCAAACAAAGGAAAGCCTCCTGATATTAATACAGTTGTTTACAATGACGAGACAGAAATAAAAATAACTAGTAATTCATTTGTCAATCATTCACCAAAAAATATTATAAACACTTATCCGATACATTTTGTTAAACAAAAACAACCAAATACAATAGAAACGAAAAATTCACATAAAAAACAAACAATAACATCGTTAATAACTCATGAAAATCCAATACTAAAAGATGTGTTATGGCCAACGAGTCCAGAACCCAAAAAGAAATTAACAAAAAATATTCAAAAAAGGTTGAAGATCATTTGATGTGGATGATAAAAAGAACTTATAATAGTAAAACCCCCAAAACGTAAAAAATTTTATACAAGTGTTGATGACTCAATGAAACTGAAACTTCCACCAACAAAAGAACATTTTGTTATTGCTGAAGATGTCTGGAAAAGATGTTCGATCTGGGTGGTTGACAAAAACACAAACTCTCTTTGTGGTGTTTTACCAAAAGAAAAAGATGGGGAAAAACCCAAGTTCGTTGTGTTATCTGACAAATATTATCTTTTGGTGTGTGATTATCATGGCCAATATTATTCATTTGACACGACAAGTGAAAGTGTCACAGATATGAAGAAACATATAACTATACACGATGATCAATTAAAAATAAAAAATCCAACAATTGAATCGACCAAAAAAGTAAGTGATCTTAATTTAAAAATCGGATGTTATATAGTGTCATCCGAACTTAGTTTTGAACACGTTGAAAGTCGGGCCTTTGTCAACTTCTTTCACAATATACGTCCTGATTTAAACATCCCTCCTTTGGATGTTATTTCAAGGACTGTTGTACCAAAAATCTTTAGAGCGGCTAAAACAAAATTACACCAACTTGTATCACCTTTGGTGTATTTTTGTTTCACAGCTGATGGTCATTGGTATTATTTATTTTTTTCATTGTTTTTGTATTTATATTTTTTTCTTCCAAAATATGCATTTTTGGTCAAATTTTGTTTTTTTAACAAAAACTAAAAAAACCAAAGTTTTGAATTTTTTATCTTTTTCAAATTTGATTTTGTTTTACAGTTTATCATCATGTTTCTTAATAATTTTGTTTGAATAATTAAATCTCCCAAAAGTGGAGATTAAACTATTAATAAATACTATATTCTTAAATGTGAATTTTTTCAGTTTGAAAAAATGGAAAAAAACTTCAGTTCACAAACTGCCAAGCACTACTATAAAGTCGCCGAACAGCTATTAAAATAAATAATTGATTTGTTAATAAATTGTTTATTGAATGATTTATTCTTTAAACAGTATGAATCTTTTTATTCATTTCAGTAAAAGTTCATTGTTTATGATTTGAAAACAGCTTCGAATTGTTTCTTAAGTCGACAAAAGTACAAAAATTTATTTATCAACTTTTCTTTAACAAATATAATTTATGTACACAAATCTATTTTAGGAAGTGTTCAACAATTTTCTGGTTAACTTTTTATTAAAATAAATAAATTATTTTTTAAAAATGGTCCCGGCGGGGATCGAACCCGCGACCCTCGCATATCTCTTTTCTATAAGTACGATGCACTACCGACTGTGCTACGGGGCCTTTATGTATTGTAAAAGATTTGATTAATATATAAATATGTTATATTTTAAAGGTTTTGAAATGCAATTAAGATTTTGAGTATATAAATAAACATTTCATATTAAATGTGGTGGTTCTTAATTAATGTAATATTAATTATACCAATACTAATACACAATACAAATTAATAAATTTTTATATAATATATTTATTGACATTTTTCATTTATTTCCTTTTTTGAAAAATAAAAAAAATATAAATATATAAACTATAATTTATTATTGTTGTAAAGGAATCAAATCTAAAAATACAATAGAAGTCAATACAAAAAATGATAAGAAGCTTACAAAATCAGTTAAACCAATCAATGGACGACCTTTTTACACCAAACACCTTCGAATTTGGTTATTGTGTTATGAGTTTGGATCAAGCAGAACGTATGTTAATGCAGTCAGATTTAACTGTCTTAAAACTAAGTGGAGTTGATACAAAAAATTTGTCTTTGAAAGGTTTTCAAATGTCAAAAGAGAATCATAATCGAAATAAAAAAGATTCTTCATTTTGTAGAAACAGTTTTCAAGAATTTAAAAAATATGTACTTTTCCCAAAAGCAAAAGGCAATTCACTGAATGCAATTAAAGAGAGAAAAATGAAAGATGAGATATGTTTTCAAAAGGCAATCTGTTTAGCTCTTTTAGGATTTTTTGGAAACTTTACAATAAAAATACCAAAGAAAATGACAAGTGCCACTAACCCACTCCAGTGTTTGGTTCAAATCTCTTTGCAAAACAACAACATTAATGTGGAAGAATTAGTTGAAAAAGTTTATAATATGACTGACCCTAAAAACAAGATGGAAGGGTCAAAAAAGACAATACAAAGAATACACAATAAAAATATAATGTATGCTACATCAAATTTCTTGTTGGATGTACTAAGGTTGTGCGGTTTCTTTTTTGATTCTAAATACCCAAAGAAGTCTTGTAAATGTGTGGAACAGGAGAGAGTCTTAAGAATATATTACCACAACAAACTTCTATTGACTAAAGAAGACATCAATTCTTTTGGAAAAGAAATTAACGACTTTTGAATTGGAAATATTCTTTTAAACCATTTGGGAACTTATGGAAAAGGAAGTGAGATTCTTGAAAACTTTTTGTATATTAACTTACCATTATTTTACACTAAAATGGCTGCTTTAAGTGATTGATTTTATTTATAAATTTAACATATATGTTGAACAATTTTAAAATTGCCAACATCAAATAACACCAAGATGAATTATTTTGTGATTGAAAAAATGTAATTTTAATTTATTGAAAAATAATTTATTTAATTATGAATTTATTAATTTATTTTTGATTTGAAAAATTGGTATAATTAAAAAATAAATTAGAATTTAACAAAACAATAAAATATTTCGAATAATTATATAATAGTTATTAAATTTATAGTTATAAAATCTGTTTTCAAATTAATTAATTTAATTTAATTAATTTAATTAAAAAATTAAAACCCGATTTTTTATGTAAATTTTCAGTAATAAAACAAAAAAAAAAATGGTTTTTTTCTTTAAATTATAAAAAAAAATATTATTTATTTTCGTTTTCATTTTTTAATTAAATTATAATAATTTAATTTAATTATGGTAATCGGCATTTCATGAATAGATCAATTGTTTTTGTTGTTTTTCCTGGCTAAAAGGCAATTATTGTAGCTAGTTTTTTTGTATAGAAAAAAATAAAAAAAGAACGCCGATGCTACTCTTTTTTTATTTTAATTATAACAAAGACTACATTCGATACACAAAAAGACTAAATCGAGTTTTGTTATGAAAAAAATTTATTTTAATTGAAAACAAAAAATGTATTAATACTTTTATAATAAAACAAACTATTGTGTATGGTTTGTTTTTCCAAGTAAGATTTGAAAATGTTGTTGTTTGACCAGATGCTCTGGACACACAACAATTGGCGGATTTCGCAATGCCTCAACACTGCATGAAAAAATCATAAAAAGTCGTCCGACGCCAACACAGTTGCTTTGTATTTAAGCAACCCATTTGCACTCGAAAAACACATCACGCAAATGCCATTCCTCCCACTTGAAGTAGTTCCAAAGTTGCACTGGGTTGGTGTTATGGATTATGACCTCAGAGTCTTTGATATCATCATGACAACACCATTTGGCACATCATACAACTCATTCCTCTTGCAGACTGCAAAGGGTAACGTCCTCTTCGAGACTTGCAAAGAGAACTTTGCTGCGGAGTGCCTTGAGCGAATAGAGCATGTCATTGGCAAAGAAGGGAAGATCGACTATATTGTCCTCAACCACACCGAACCAGATCACTCGGGGTCACTTGTCCACATTCTTGCAAAGTATCCTGAAGCCACTGTCATTGCAACACCAGCTGCTTTGAATAATGTGAAGTACATTGGACACATCAAGGAAGACACAAAGACGCTCTCTGCACCAAAGATAAAGACACTCGACTTGGGAGACATCCACCTTAAGTTCATCATCCAGCCATTCTTGCACTGGCCAGACACAATGATGACTGTCATCGAAGAGCTCAAAGTGTTGGTCACATGCGATGTCTTTGGTGGGCATTGTGCTGATGACCGTGTCTTCAACGACAAGATGATGGACAGAATTGCTGATATGGATGAGGCGTACAAGCATTACTTCGACTGCATCTTTGGTCCATTCAAGCCATACGTCTTGAAAGGAATCAACTTGATAGAGACACAGATGGGATTCCCAGTCGAGGAACTCAAGGCAGTCTGCTGCAGCCATGGCCCAGTTCTGAGAACAAACATCAAAGAGAACATCGAGAGATACAGACAATGGGCACAACCCCAAGTCCTCAAGAACAAAGTTGTGATTGCTTATGGCAGTGCTTATGGATACACAAAACACATGGCAGAAAAGATAGCAGAAGGCGTCAAGTCTGTTGGTGTCGAGGTCTCCATCCACGACA